AACTGGCCACCCAGGCGCCTCTGAGGACATGTTTTTGAGAAAAACAGACAAGTCTCTACGTTCATGGAGCTTACGGTCCAGTAGGAGAGAGAGACATCAAACAAGCAATAGAACAAGCAAAAGCAAAATGAAAATATGTTATTCAAAAGAAGGGGCCAAAATTAAAATATGGAAATGATTAAGATAAAGTGATATAAAATGAACACCAACTAAGGCAAGATTAAAAGGTTAAATTAAAAGGAAAAAATCTCTCTCACTTTTTCTCAAATACATAAAATCTTAAAAAAATAAATAAAAGGAAAAAATACAGTAGCCAGGTTTCTCATAGACATAAACAAATACCCACAGTCTGACGGCCCTGCCTGATGGTTCTTTGTGGGTTCTTCGGGCACACCTGTGGATACTGACCTGTGATTGCTTGGATCCTGGGTTCCTCTGGTGACATGGCCTACCTACTGTTCCCAAAAGAGAATCCATTCCATGAACTATGTCGCTAAAACGAGGACAGACCCTGCCTGTGTCCTCTCACAAGGTTCCCGTAGGGCACAGCTACCTTATGCTCTGCTTTGTTGAGGCTTGAAGATGCCAGAATTTAATTTGATTTGCTTCTTATTAGGACTTCCCTGTCTCTCAGGCTCAGTATAAGCCCTTGGAGGCTGGGCCCAGTTGAACAAATTGCTTCATTCCTCCCCACCCCACCCTGGACCAGGTTTACACACCTCAGCAGTTTTTCCTTAGAGTGGTTAGTTCTCAGCCTTTCCAGTGAACTCTTTGAGAATTTGGAGAAAACCTCAACCCTAAAAATTAGGAACATGTGTGCACACCCACGCAGTTGTTCATATAATCTTAAGGAATTTGTGGAAGTCCTGAAATGCAACTATAGATTTTGTGGAAGTCGAGAACCCAGACAAAAAACCCCTCATGTAAGGGGCACTTGGGTGGCTCATTCGCTTAAGCGTCTGCCTTCCGCTCGGGTCATGATCCCGGGGTCCTGGGATCAAGTATTGGACTCCCTGCTCAGTGGAAAGCCTGCTTCCGCCTGCTTGTGCTCTCTCTCTCACTCTCGCTCTATCTCAAATAAACAAATAAAATCTTAAAATCTTAAAAAAAAACCCCTCATTTAAGGGGTTAAGCCCTGAGTCCCCTCCCAAAACACTGGGGGCGGTGCGGTGCATAGACGGGGTGTGGGGATCACTCAGCCGGCCTGTCAGAAAGCGTCCCTGCTGAATCCAGCTCTCTGGGCACGTGTGCTTGGAATCTGCACCGATTCATCATTTCCTGTGCCTGCTCTAACAGATGAGCATAAACTTAGTGGCTTAAAATAGCAGAAATACATTCCCTCCTGGTTCTGAAAGCAGGTTCCCTGGACCACAATCAAGGGGACTCTAGAAGGGGAATCCATTCATTGTCTCGCTTCATCCCCTGTCTGGTGGCTGCCAGCGCTCCTTGCTTGAGGCCTCATCACTTAACTCCGTCTCTCCCTCCGTGCTCACGCTGGCCTCGTCTTGTGTCCGATCTCCCTGTCTCTTTCCTATAAAGATTGCATTTGTGACCTGCTCAGATCATCCACGTTACACCCCCCATCTCAAGATCCTTAACCGAATCACATGTGTGGACTCGTTTCCCATATAAGGTTCCAGGGATTATGAGCTGGTATTTTGGGGGGCCATTAGTCAGCCTACGACACTGCCTTCCCACAAGCTTCCTGTGAGATTCTTATGAGAAATGCGGGCTTGTGGAGATGGCCCTCAGTGGGGGCGGACCGGTTGTGGGGAGCTCATGCCAGTCCCTGGACATGTTGGCTCATAGGAAAATGCAATGGGAAGAATGTGGGCTTTGGAGCCTCCTGAAGCAGTCCTCCCTGCCCAGGCTGCTCTGTGTCCTGGTCCTGGAGGGGCACTGGGCCTATACTCCTCCTCAGCTAGCACACCCTTCAGAGCGGGATGAGTGCTGTCTTTCTGCCAGGCTGGGAGCATCTTCAGCCAGGGCTGTCTAGTTCCTATCTGTATCCCCAGCACCTGACTCAGTGCCTAGCACGTAATAAGGAAAATAGTTACTGAACAAATGGATTTCTTTTTTTAAGATTTTATTTATTTATTTGACAGAGAGAGAGAGAGAGCACAGATAGGCAGAGCGGCAGGCAGAGGGAGAAGCAGACTTGCTGCTGAGCAGGGAGCCTTGATGCGGGGCTCGATCCCAGGACCCTGGGATCATGACCTGAGCCGAAGGCAGGCGCTTAACCGACTGAGCCACTCAGGTGCCCCATGAATGTATTTAAAAAAAAAAGATTTATCTATTTTATAGAGAAAGAGAGAGAAACACGAGTGGGAGGGGCAGAGAGAGAGGGAGAGTCTCAAGCAGACTCCCCAATGAGTGCATTGCCCAGTTCGGGGCTCAATCCCAGGACCCCAAGGTCATGACCTGAGCTGAAACCAAGAGTTGTATGCTCAACTGACTGCACCACCCAGTCAGTTGATATTTAATTATTAAAGATTTTATTTATTTGACAGAGCAAGAGAAAGGGAGAGAGAGCACAAGTAGGGGAAGCAGCAGCAGGAGAGGGAGAAGCAGGCTTCCCGCCGAGCAGGGAGCCCGATGCGGGGCTCGATGCCAGGACCCCGGGATCATGACCTGAGCCGAAGGCAGACGCTTAACGACTGAGCCACGCAGGCGCCCTGGACCGACGTGATATGTACTGTAGTAAGAGCATGTTTACGATGCTTCAGTGCCCCCACCATCGTGCGTGCGGGTGTGTTGGAAGGGCTTTTAGGAAACCCGCAAGCGGGGCTTGGGCGGGTAAGCTTGCTTTTGGCACTAGCGTGGCACGAGCAAAAGCCGAAGCCCAGCAGGAGAGGTCCTGCAGCAAGGGAGGAGACGGGCAGGAGAGCAGGCCGCGCCACCCAGTCATCAGGGAAGCGGGACTTCATCCGGTCGGGAACACAGGGTTATATAGGTGAACCTACGCCCTTCCTGCTGTGAGGACCTCTCCCAAATTCTGCCAGGACCTTCCACAGGGCCTTTCACACAGTCGGCCCTCAGGAAGTGAATCAGTTCCTTCACCAGGCTCCTGGAGGCCCGGCAGCTGCCCCACCCAGAAGCTAAAGCTAATGTTCCTTTGGCCACGGTCCAGAGTTTGCCGAAAAGAAAAGCTAACAAGAGGACCGTCACACAGGTCCTCCCTCTGCGGCATTTCCTGTTGGCAGGGGCACTGAGCCCACAGGCTTTGTCCTGGACAAGGAAGGGCTGTGGCAGCCGGGACTGTCCTGCAGGAGCCGGCGGCCGGCGCAGCTGGAAGTGCCAGTCTCCTTGGGGGGACAGGCCGGCAGCTCAGTCGCTTCCCTTCTGAGGACCTGCTGCCCCCTGCCAGTGTCCCTGTAGGATGTTTTATTTAGAGGAAGGGCTTGTGGCTGCTACTCAAACAGCAACATTAAAAAAGGCTCTCTGCCAGTTGGATTTACCTGCTAGCAACATAGCAATCAATTCTCAGAGGATGCATTTTGAAATAATGGCATTTCCAAATCTGAATCAGGCCCACTGTGGACATGCTGGACTGTCATGAGAGAAGCAGGTGGTAGGACTGTCAGGGTCCTTGGTTCTTCTTTAACCTCCATTGTCAACTCACTGTTTGGTCTTGTGAAAATTCTACTTTTGGTTCCCCCTCAAGTTCTTCATTAATAACACCCTATTGCTGAAAGTCACTTACTTCACAATGCTCAGAAGCTAGGCAAGGGCTAATGGAACTCATAGATGTTGAAACATTACATTAAGGAAATTTTTTAAGTAATCTCTACCCCCAACGTAGGGCTCAAACTCACGCACTGAGAATCAAGTCGCATGCTCTACCGACTGAGCCAGCCAGGGGCCCCAGGTTACTCACCTTTTATTTAACTAATTAATTAATCAATTTATTTATTTTTCTAAAGATTTTACTTATTTATTTGACAGAGAGAGACAGCTAGCTAGAGAGGGAACACAAGCAGGGGGAGTGGGAGAGGGAGAAGCAGGCTTCCCGCCGAGCAGGGAGTCCGATGCGGGGCTCGATCCCCAGGACCCTGGGATCATGACCCAAGGCGAAGGCAGACGCTTAATGACAGCCACCCAGGCGCCCTGGTTACTCACCTTTTAAAGAGCCAACTAAATAGAATTCAGTACTTGAATATTTGCAACTCTTAGTTACCTACTTTAGAAGTAGCCAAGATGTACAAATTATAAATATGAAACCCACCCCTTTCTTCCCCCACTCTCCTGAAAAAATTCTGAAACCTTTGATTGTTGGGTCAGGCAAGAGTTAAAAGTCATTACTGTTATCAATTAACTTCTGAAGTTGTTACTAGTCACAGTTTAAGTGCCTAATAGTCACATCTGGCTGTAGTTACCTATAGGATAGCACAGATTATAGAACATTTATTTGCACTGTAGCCAGAAAGTTCTATTTGACGACCCCCATATTACAACATCTATAGCAGCACAACTTTTAAAAATCAAAACCCTTTGGAGAATAATGATGTATCTGTGTAGGTTCACTGTTAACAGATGCACCACTGTGGTGCGGGGTGTTCAGGGTGGGGGAGGCTGTGCATATGTGGGGACTGGCGAATATGGGAACTCTGTACTTAACTGCTTAATATTGCTGCGAGCCAAACACTGTTCTAGAAAATAGTTAATTAAAAATTAAAAAAAAAACAAACCTGCAAAAACATCTACATGTCCATCAATAATAGAACCATAAACTACCCTAGAGCAATGACGATTTATTATTTATCATATGTAAGACTATGGACGAATCTCACAATGTTGGATTAAAGAAGCCAGATACATGAGTACACAATGTATACTGTGTATGTATCATACAAAATCTGGTGAAAAGGTCAGAATAGCGGTTACTCTTGGGAAGGTCAGTTTGTGGCTGAAAGGAAGCACGGAATGTTGACCCTTCTGTGTCTTTTTTTTAAAGATTTTATTTATTTGACAGAGAGAACACAAGCAGGGGGAACTGCAAGCAGAGGAGAGCCGGGAGCCCGATGTGGGACTCGATCCCAGGACCCTGGAACCATAGACCTGAGCCGAAGGCAGACACTTAACCAACTGAGCCACCCAGGTGCCCCGACCCTTCTGTGTCTTAATCAAGGTGCTGGTTGCATCAATGTGTTGTGAAAAGTCAGCTATCTATACTCTTACGACTGTGTGCTTTCTGTATACATATCACACTTCAATATAACATTTAAAAGATGTATTCAGAGTCTACTGTGTACTGGGCACTTTTCACTTACATAATGCCTTTCACTTTTAGATTGCTCAAAATTGTTTTCCCTTCATATCAGAGTCTTTTGAAAGCAAAATCTTTCCTTTCTCCAGGGCCCTCTTCACCCTCAACTGGTCAATAGTATGATGAACACGACAGACAACAAATGGTTAAGGGTGGATATTTTGAATGATTTTTCCTCACTTCTCCACAAAGACGTTAGAGGGATGGCATTAAACAGATTTCTGGCTTGCTGCCATATTTTCCAGTTTACCTACGAAGAAAGCATATGTTGCTATTGATATCTTGACCAAAACCTTAACTTCCTTCTAGTTTCCCAAAAAGTAAACAGATGACAGATGTGTACCAGGTTCTACTTTAAAAGGACAGTATATTTCTTGTAATAAAATGCTGGGAAAAAATTCAAAACCATAAAGTGATAATGCTAATGACTGGAATTTATTTAGTCTAAAGTACTAACTGCTACAAGGGTGAGGATACCTAAAAAAATTGAAAGGATGCTTCACAAGACACCCATTCTGGGCAGAAGCAAAGGTGAAACTAGAAAGCCCCCTTTCAGGGTGTCCTAGTTTTGGTTTTTCAGACTCTAAGCAGAGGACTTAGGTTTAGTTAATTTTCTTAAGTAGGCTCCAGACTTAAAGTGGAGCCCAACATGGGGCTTGAGCTCACAACTTGAGCTGAGATCGAGAGTTGGACGCTTAACTGACTGAGCCACCCAGCACCCCTTAGGCTTAGTTTATTTGGGAGGCAATCCAATGAAGCAGAAGTGAGGGAGTGGAGAAAGTGAGGGGAGGGAGAAAGGCCACAGGTGAGTTAGTGAGGTGATGTTCACTGTGGGCAAGTGGGGCTCAATCCCTCTGAGGGTGCAGTGAGGCACACGTACAATGTACGCACCGAGTGATACGGAAGCCGGGGCACTTACCAACCAGCCCGTTCTTTACCAGTTGGCGGTTGCTCTGGGGGTGTTACATCCCCAGCCCTTCTAGATTGCCCTGTGTGCAGGCTGAGCAGGCTCCTGTGGGGCAGGAGAAAGGAATACAGGGCTTTGGTGGTGGAAAGACTTGCACAGGAACTGTCCACTGGGGCTGCAGGTGAACTCATAGTGGGCTAAGGGATATGGAGTGGTGTGGGGCATCCACAAAGACATCTCTTACTAGTAATACTTGCTAGAAAATTGAGTCAGATGCTCTTCACAATTGTTCCACATTCACAAAAATTAAATACCAAAGGTATACATCCAGAAATAAGCCCGCACACATTTATGTTCAATTCTTGACAAGGGTGCCAAAACAATTCAATGGGTAAACACTAGTTTTTTCAACAAATGGTGTTGGGACTACTGGATACCATATGTAAAGAATGAAGTTGGTCCAACTACCTCACACCATATACAGTAACCCAAAATGGACCACAGACGTAAATCTATGAGCTAAAACTATAAAACTCTTAGTAAGAACACAGGGGGTAAATCTTAGTAACCTTGGATTTGTAATAGTTTCTTTTTTCTTTTTTTTTTTAAGATTTTTATTTATTTGGGAGAGAGAGAATGAGAGACAGAGAGCATGAGAGGGAGGAGGGTCAGAGGGAGAAGCAGACTCCCTGCTGAGCAGGGAGCCCGATGCGGGACTCGATCC